TTGGAGCGTCGAAAAACGGAAATGGGGAGAACGCCTAAATCACTCAAAAATTTGAGGAATCTGATTTTTGCCTCTCGGACCCTCTTGGGAGACTGGGAGTGTTCAGGGAGGCTTCTCAGGGCGTCTTGGAGGCCTCTTGGGCTGTCTGGGGGCCATCTTGTATTTTGTGTCTTGGAGTGGTCTCGTGGCGTCTCGAAGAACTCTTGGACCATCTTGGGGACCTCTTGGGGGACTCTTGGCCCTTCTGGGGGCTCTCTGGGGAGCCCCGAGGGCGGCGCCCAGGAGCAGAGCCATCTCTGACATTCTCTGACCAGACCGTGTCGGAGATCGACCAGGATATCTTTCGCCCTGCGATGCCCAGGGGCTGCCCACGCGCGCAGCTTAGAACTCTTCTGCACCTCCGGCGACCTTGGCACGCCTCTGGCCCGTTGAGCCGGCGAGTCTGGGCCTTGGTCGGGGGCACTCGCTCGCAGGCGCTTGCGCAGTCTCATCCCGAGAACGGTGAGGCGTTCCTTCGGATGTTCGGAGCCCTCCTCCCTGCGCCAGCCCGAGCTCACGCCAGCGCCACGAAGCTCACGCTCCGACCCGTCGTGCCCCGCCCTGCCCTCGTCAGGTCGGGCCTGTCCCCCTGCAGGCCGATTTCCGAGGACGACTTTAGAAATAGTCAGAGCATGTCCCAAAAAGGTCAAAAAAGCAAATTATAGCCGTAGTGCAGTATCCCCGAACAGGGTTTTTAAACGCACTGCGGTATCCAAGGTCGATTGCGTGCCCGTCCAGTGCGGGTTGGCATGGCATGTTAGAACATGATAACATGACGTTTGCACATGAGAGGGCGGAAGGCAGGGCGCGCATGACGGAAGCTGAGGCGGCAGAAACGACGACGGCGGGATGGGGAGGCGGAGGCAGAGGCGCAGCAGCGGGAGGCGGGAGGCGGGAGGAGGGAGGAGGGAAGAGGAGCCAGGCGGGAAGCGGGAAGAGGGAGGCGGGATAAGGAATGAGAGAGGTTGTGATTGGAGCCCCTGTGCTACGAAACGTCTCAGGCAGAACGGGCCAGACCATCTCGCGCTTAACATCTTCGAGCTTCGCATTGTGAGGATGGCTCAAGCGAAACGGGCCGGACCACCTCGCGAGCGACATCTTGGAGCTCAGTATTTGAAGGATGTCTCAAACGAAACGGGCTGGACAACCTCTTGCGCACGTTCTGACAAGTCCGCGTCACATTCGCTTCCCGTTGGGTCCTCTCCTGCAACTCCCTTCCTTCTCCCTCCTCCTCCTCCTCCTCCTCCTCCTCCTCCTCCTCCCCCTCATCTTGCCTGCTCCCTCCTCCTCCTCCTCCTCCTCCTCCTCCTCCTCCTCTTCCTTTTCCCTTCCTTCTCCTCCTCCTCCTCCTGCTCCTCCTCCTCCTCCTCCTCCTCCTCCTCCTCCTCCTCCTCCTCCACCTCCTCTTCATCCCGAACGGCATCTCGGAGCCCAGAGTTGCGAGGATGCCTCCAGCGTAACGGGCTGGACCACCTCGCGCGCAGCATCTCGGAGCCCAGAGTTGCGACGATGTCTCGGGCGAAACGTGCTGCGAGGAAGTCTCAGGCGGAACGGGCCGGACCACCTCGAGCGCGGCGTCTCAGAGCTCCGAGTTGCGGGGGTCTCTTGGGGCCTCCTGGGGCCTTCTGGGGACCTCCTGTGGCGTCCTCCTGGGCCTCCTGTGGCCTCCTGGACCCCACCTGGGGCTTCCTGAAGCCTCTTGGGGCTCCCAGGGGGGGACATCTAACATGTGGCCTCTTGGGGCTCCCATGGGGGCACAAGAGCAAACAAAAAAAAAACGAATCGACACCGGATGTGTATTAACTTGACACGTTCTGATAGGGGGCCTCCTGGGGCCTCCTGGGAGCCTCCTGGGAATCTCCTGGGGACCCCAGGGGCCTGTCCTGGGCGTCCTGCGGCCTCTCCTGGGCGTCCTGTCCTGGGAGCCTCCTGGGAAGCTCTCTGGGGCCTCCTGGGGCTCCCAGGGTCCCAGGGGGGATATGTAACATGTGGCCTTCTGTGCCCCCAGGCTGGACCACCTCTTGCGCGGCATCTGGGAGCTCAGAGTTGCGAGAATGTCTTGTGCGAGACGGGCCGGACCACCTTGCGCACGGCATCTCAGAGCTCAGAGTTGCGAGGATGTCTCATGCGAGACGGGCTGGACCACGTCGCGCGCGGCATCTGGAGCTCAAAGTTGCGAGAATGTCTTGTGCGAAACGGGCCGGACCACCTTGCGCACGGCATCTCAGAGCTCAGAGTTGCGAGGATGTCTCAGGCGAGACGGGCCAGACCACCTCGCGCAGGGCGTCTCAGAGCTCAGAAGTTCGAGGATGTCTCAGACGAAACGGGCCGGACCACCTCTCTCGCGGCATCTCGGAAAGCAAAAGTGCGAGGATGTCTCAAGTGAAACAGGCCAGACCACCTCTTGGGCGGCATTTCGGGGCTCAGAGTTTAGAGGATGTCTCAAGCGAAACGGGCCAGACCACCCCTCGCGCGGCATCAGAGAGCGCAGAGTTGCGAGGATGTCTCAGGCAAAACGGGCTGGACCACCTCGCGCACGACATATCAAGGCTCCGAGTTTGGAGGATGTCTCAGGTGAAACGGGCTGGACCACGTCGCGCGCGGCATCTCCGAGGTCAGAGTTGCGAGGATGTCTCAGGCGAAATGGACTAAACCACCTCTTGCGCGGCAGCTCAGAGCTCAGAGTTTCGAGGATGTCTCAGGCGAAACAGGCCGGACCACCTCGCAAGCGGCATCTCGGAGCCCAGAGTTTCCAGGATGTCTCAGGCGAAACGGGCCGAACCACCTCGCAAGCGTCATCTCGGAGCCCGGAGTTGCGAGGATGTCTCAGGCGAAACGGGCCGGACCACCTCTCGCACTGCACCTCGGGGCTCAGAGTTTCGAGGATTTCCCAAGCGAAACGGCCCGGACCACCTCTCGCGCGGCGTCCCGGAGTGCAACTTTTCGAGGATGTCTCAGGCGAAACGGCCAATCCTGGCCAACTCCAAAACGAGAGTTGTGAGGATGTCTCAAGCGAAACGGCCCGGACAAAATCAAATTTTTGTGAGGATGTCTCTGCTCCCCTTTCCCTCGGCCGGAGCTAGCTTTTATCACAACAGCACCCCGTTCAGCAAGCTGTTTCGGGAAAAACCTATGTCGGAATACACCTCAGGCGATGCTTAAGAAAACTTAAAGTTTTCGACCAGAGTCTCGATTATTCTTGACGTGTCAATGTAAATCTTAAGATCTTGATAGAAATATTGGGTTTTTGCTCAAGTTCTGAGACTATGAATTTCTTAACCCATGATTTCTTAAGCATTTCGCAGGGTGTATTCCTCCTGCAGAGGCACAGGCAAAAAATGCCGTGGCCCGTGTGCGCCGCCCGAGAGCCCGCCGCCGTCCGAGCCCGTCGGCGGGCCGGGCACGGCGGGCGTGCGCGCGCGCGCCGTTCTTCGCCTGCTTCCCGGCGGTGCCCAGGGGCGCCCTCGAGGGAGGAGGAGGAGGAGGAGGAGGAGGAGGAGGAGGAGGAGGAGGAGGAGGAGGAGGAGGAGGAGGAGGAGGAGGAGGAGGAGGAGGAGGAGGAGGAGGAGGAGGAGGAGGAGGAGGAGGAGGAGGAGGAGGAGGAGGAGGGGAGGAGGAGGAGGAGGAGGAGGAGGAGGAGGAGGAGGAGGAGGAGGAGGAGGGGGGGGGGGGAGGAGGAGGAGGAGGAGGGAGGAGGAGGAGGAGGAGGAGGAGGAGGAGGAGGAGGAGGAGAGGAGGAGGAGGAGGAGGAGGAGGAGGAGGAGGAGGCGCGAAGTTATTCGCGCTTCGCGCAAGGGGCGCCGCCAGCAGTTTTGTTCTCTTCGCCGTGCGCCTCGACCAGTTCGGGTACGGCCTCCTTGTCCTCTCCTCGCTGAGGGAGCCGATTCGCCCGCGGGGGCGGCTGAAGGCGGCGGGGCGGTTGGTCGCACTCGTCCGCCTTTCGGCGTTCTCTACTCCACTCCCCTGGGAGGCGGCGCGAGAACGCGAAGTTGTTCGCGCTCTCGCGCAGCGCGCAGCGCGAAGCTGGGAGCCCTTGCTGCCGAGCTGGAAAGCCACCGCGGTTGCCAGCTCAGTTAGCCGCTCCAGCGCTGCCCTGCAGGGCGCGCTGGCGCAGCCCCGCCGCTGGCTGCAATGGGCGCTGCTGCAGCCGGCCGCGGAAATGATGGCGGCGTTCGTGAAGGGCGTCAGGTGTCTGTGTGTGTGATGTTTTGGTTGAAGATGGTCGGCTACTCATGATGGGATTGGTCACCTTGTTGGTTCTCGTGTTGTCATATACATGCACGGCAGTTCCTCGTGCATCTCCTGCTCATGTTGGTCGTGGTCCTCACGCTGATGTTGCTCAAGGCCATGCTGCCGACCCGTGGCACGTCGGTCATGGCCCACCGTCTTCCAGCGGGGCTGCTGCTGCAGCTGTTTCTCGCGGTTAGCCTGGTCAGGTGGTTCGTGTCGAGATTTCGAGCCTTGCTGAAAATTGCAGCGCCACGGCTGCTCGACCACATGAGAAGGGCAAAAGCAAGGCCGCGGACCTTGTTGGTGCTGATGCTGAAGCGGCGCAATGTGATGTATAGCTTTCTGTGCTATATACGAGTGGCGTTGTATGCTTTGCCGGAGTCTGACCGCTTATTTGTCTGGACGTGAATCTTGGGACCCAGGCCAGTCCGTGGTCCGTACCCATTTCTCCGTTCTCATGTCCTCCCCCTTTCCCCCTGCTTTCATTCACCTTTTTACACACGTCGTACGAGCTACGTGTCATGGGCGCACCAGCGTGCAGTTTGTTCAGGGGCATGTGCCGCTTGCTGCCCGAGGAGGGGCGGAGGAAGCGACAGGTACATCTGGCGGACAAGGGTATGAAGGACTTGGGAAAGGGATGGCGAGGAGAGGACAACACGCAAAGATGTATGTTTTGGGACGGGGGCTGTCCGTGTCGCCGAGCTGCGCTCGCTCGCAGCCCTCGCCGCCAGGCCGTCGTCGGGGAGGAGGCCTTGAGCGAGGACGAGCACAAGTACCTAGAGTTCTTGGACAAGTTCGAATTGAAGTTCCTGTCGCAGGGTCGTGTTGGTGGAGGGCGGGACGTGAGGCACGGGAGGGGGGCTGCATATGTTCGGCTTGGAGGGCGAGAGAGGAGGCTTCAGGGCGGTGTGATATGGGCGTGAAAGATGGGGAGGGCAAGGCGGGGAATGTTTGAGTCCCTCTTACGCCTCACCGTCACCCTCCTCTAACGATATCTGTTGCCCCTCAGGGCTTCGCCCCCTGCCGCCGGCCCCCTCTCTCGGATAATGGGGTATGCAAAAGCTACGCTGTGAGGCCTGAGCGCCGTCGTGAAGCAGCGTCGGAACTCAGTCGAGCGGGGGCCACTTGAGATGTCCGGCTGCCCTGCAGGGTTCCAGGTGGGGCACGCGCTCACACATTGCCATACACGCTTGGATATGATGATTGCGAAAGGCTCGCATGGTTGCCTTGCGTTCTTCCTTTTGGGCCGCGACAGCGGTTGGAAAGTGCTTCGGATTTTGTTGGGAAAGGTTCAGCGCACTTACTATCGTTAATCTTCGTGTTCAGTCTAATTTCGTGTGATGTTATGTGTGATTTATTTGGTGTTTTTTTTGCGCTCCGGGGGCCTTCAACACGGATCCTTAGTGAAAACTTCGTGACGCTTCGATGATCCTCACCAGCCCATGCAGAATTCAGCCGAGGTTGTCTTGAATTCTCTTGGAGGCATTCCAGAGCCAAGCTCGGCTGGAGGCCGTCTTGAGGTTTCTAGGACGTCAGTCGGAGGCCGTATTGTCATGCTCGGAGAATTCATGCGGTCCTGAAAGCTGTTTTTCCCCAGCCATATTGTGGTGTTGGGTATTTCGTTTTGAAGGGACAGCGCCCCGCGTTTCCTCCTCTCCTCCTCCCCCTCCTCCCTCTTCCCCCTCGTTCCCTCTGCCATCCGCATGTTTGTGTTTCGGCAAACCCCTCACACGCTTCGTGGCCCCATGGGAAGCTCCACCGAAGGCGCCAGTGGGAGGGTTCCCATGGCACCATCGCCCAATTTCGGCCCACCCCACGCATGCTTCGTGGCTCCATAGGGAGCTCCACCCAAGGCCCCAGAGGGAGGGTTCTCATGGCACATTTCAGCATACCCATCACACGTTTCGTGGCCACATAGGGAGCCCCGCCGCAGGCCCCAGTGGGAGGGTTGCATGCAGCACCGCTCCATTTAGGACACAGACAAACACACACACACACACACACACACACACGCACACACGCACGCACGCACGCACACACACACACACAGACACACACACACACACACACACACACACACACACACAACAACACACACATAGACACACACACAGACACACTGACACACACACAGACACACACACAGACACACACACACAGACACACACACACAGACACACACACACAAACACACACAGACACAGACACACCTACACACACTCACACACACACACACAGACACGCACACACACACTCACACACGCATTCACACACACACACTCACACACTCACACACTCACACACTCACACACTCACACACTCACACACACGCAACACACGCACAACACACGCACAACACACACAGCACACGCACGACACACACAGACGCACGCACAACCCCCCCCCACACACACACACACACACACACACACAACACACACACACAACACACAACACACAACACAACACACAACACACCACACACAACACACAACACACAACACACAACACACAACACACAACACACAACACACAACACACAACACACAACACACAACACACAACACACAACACACAACACACAACACACAACACACAACACAACACACAACACACAACACACAACACACAACACACAACACACAACACACAACACACAACACACACACACACACACACGCACAACACACGCACACACATGCACACACACACATACACACGCACACACCTCCCTTGGGAGAAGGTTTTTAGGGGGGGGGGTCGGGGAGGGAAAACTGTTCTACCCCCCTAAATTATCCCGGTTGTGAGTAGCGCGATTGTTGGTATAGTCTTCGGTGGAGCTCCTTATGCGCAGCCACTGGGGCCTTCTGTGGAGCTCCCCATGGGGCCACGAAACGTGCGAGGAGTGTGCCGAAATGGGTGCGGGGGTGTCCTGCGAGCGCAGCCACTGGGGCTTTCGTCTGAGCTCCCCATGAAGCCACGAAACGCGTGATGAGTGTGCCGACATGATGGGTGCGGTGATGTCATGCGAGCGCAGCCTCTGGGGCCTGCGGTGGAGCTTCCAATGGAGCCACGAAACGTGTGAGGGGTGTGCCGAAATGGGCGCGGTGGTGTCGTGCGAGCGCAGCCACTGGGGCATTCGTTGGAGCTCCTTGTGGGGCCACGAAACGTGTGAGAGGTGAGCCGAGATGGGCGCGGTGGTGTCATGCGAGCGCAGCCACTGAGGCCGTCGGTGGAGCTCCCCATGGGGCCACGAAACGTGTGAGGAGTGTACCGAAATGGGCGCGGTGGTGCCATGCGAACGCAGCCACTTGGGCCTTCGGTGGAGCTCCCTATGGGGCTGCGAAGCGTGTGAGGGGTGTGCCCAAATGGGTGCGGTGGTGCCATGCGAGCGCAGACACTGGGTCCTTCGGTGGAGCTCCCTATGGGGCTACGACAAGTGTGAGGGGTGTGCCGAACTGGGTGGCGATGATGGTGACGATCACGTCGGTGATGATGACGATGACGATGACGATGACGATGACGATGACGATGACGATGATGATGATGATGATGATGATGATGATGATGATGATGATGATGATGATGATGCTGATGCTGATGCTGATGCTGATGCTGATGATGATGATGATGATGATGATGATGATGATGATGCTGATGATGATGATGATGATGTTGCTGCTCATGATGATCGGAGGAGGGAGGAGGGAGGAGGGGGGAGACGCGGGGCGCTGTCTCTTCACAACGAGGACCCAGCACCACAGGATGGTTGGGGGAACATCTGGAGGGGGCCTTTCAAGTGGGTCAGGGGAACGATGAGGAACTCCTGGGAGAACCCCCCCGAACCCCCAAAGAACTCTTCCTGAAGGTTGTTTTGGGGGATCTGGGGGGGGGGGGACCTCCCTAACCCATCCACAAACCAATCCTCAGAAGGTTTTTTGGGGCGGGGGGTCCAGGGGGGACACTTCATGAATCCCCTCCCTAATCTTCCACCCCCCAGATGTTTCGCTTGCTGGTTTTAGAGGGGTGCAGGGAAAACTCCTCCGAACCCCGCCCGAACCTTCCCTAAGGGAGGGCTTTGATGGGGTATGAGGGAAAGGCGTATGATGTTCCAACCGACTTGCCTTGATTACCAGAAAGAGTTTCGAGCACCAAGGAAGTACCGAAACTGAAGGGTTTTCGCGTGTCGGGCCCTGGGAGGCGATGTTCGCTCGACACGTCTTCGATACGTTTCTGGGTGCTCGAAATTACTTCTGGGAGGTGGTCCTGAAATGCGATGGGAGCAGCATAAGGAAAGGCTTCCTTACCACTGCAAAAACAAGCCAAGGGGCAGGGTGTGTGGGTAGGGGGGGACAGAATAAGATTGTGCTCACTTGTGCGGAGGCAGTGCCCCTTTAAAAACCTCTCGAGCCTCCAACCTTCCCCCTGACCACTCCCCCCACCCACCCACCCTTTCGGCGGGTGCGGCCGAGTTTTTTGTTGTTGTTTTTTTTTCCCGAATGGGGCCCCCAGAAACTCCCACCCCCCTTTCTCCTTCTCCTGGCTCTTCTCCCGACTCCTGCTCCCCATACTGCAGGTCCTTACGAGAACCGCGACATCTTCACCTCCCTGGATCTCGCGTGGACACTGCTGCGGATCTTCCCTCAGGAGCCGCTCACTTGCCACGGTCTCCCTGAGGAGGGGAAGGAGGAGAAGGAGGAGGAGGAGGACGAGGAGCAGGAGGAGGAGGAAGAAGAAGACGATGAGGAGGAGATGGATGAGGATGCCCACGACCAGCCACGCGCCAGGAGGAGGACGCAGACGAGGACGAGTACGAAATGGAGTAGGGGGGGGGGCAAGACCAGGAGGAGGATGAGGAGGGCAAGGAGCATGGACTCCAAAGCGCGAGGTTTAGCTGACTGCTTGCACATTCTTAGAGGTCGACTTCGAGAGTCAATGATTAATTCCCCGGATACCATCCCTCATGTTTCGCCTTCATGACACCACGAATTGCACAATAATCTTCAGGAGACGTGTCTTGGGGCCCTTCTTGTCTTCTGATCTGTCCAGGTAGACATCGGCCACAATCGTGGGACGATGCTCTTGTCTAAAGGGATGTCATACCCGTGTTTGCTCAAGGCTGGACGTGAAGTGTCAGCGTTCAAGTCCCCTTTGTAAGGCCGATGCGACAGCGCTCGGCGATCCGCGTTGCACAGTACCACCATCCAGTCAGTCACTGCTGTTTTGGCTTATCTTCGGCACAGGATGCGAAAGTCATTTCAACAACGGTCCAGACGCTAAACTATCGCACATCGGACGCCCAGGGACAGGAAAGACCAGAGAGAACGTACAGGTTCCACTGTGCCAGGGGGTGTCTGTGCACCATGCTTGGTCTTGGGTGCCTGTCGGTAACCCCATGAGGGATGCGGTCAGTGCTCGGGATTATTGTGGAGACCAGCGAGGAGTATAAAGAGTAGCAGAATGAAGACGAGGAAGAGGCGGAAGAGGCGGTCCAGACGACGACGACGACGACGACGACGACGACGACGACGACGACGACGACGACGGCGACGGCGGCGACGGCGGCGACGGCGGCGACGGCGACGGCGACGACGACGACGACGGCGACGACGACGACGACGACGGTGGCGGATGCGGCGGTGGCGGCGGCGGCGGCGGCGACAAAGGTGGCGGCTGCAACGACGACAACGAAACGACGACGATGAGTCGTTGATGATGATGATGATGATGCTGATGCTGATGCTGATGCTGATGATGTTGATGCTGATGATGCTGGTGATGCTGGTGATGTTGAGATTTATGATGATGGTTATGATGATGCTGATGATGGTGATGATGATGATTATGATGATGATGTGATACTGCTGCTGCTGAAGAGGATGAGGATGAGGATGAGGATGAGGATGAGGATGCGGATGAGGATGAGGATGAGGATGAGGATGAGGATGAGGATGAGAATGAGGATGAGGATGTGGATGAGGATGATGCTGATGCTGATGCTGATGCTGATGCTGATGCTGATGATGATGATGATGATGATGATGATGATGATGATGATGATGATGATGATGATGATGATGATGATGATGATGATGATGATGATGATGATGATGATGATGATGATGATGATGATGGCCGCACCAGTGCTGTCTGGCAGCACCTTCCCGAGTTCCAGAGCCGCCCGTCGACGCCCAGCTTCTTGTCCCTCGGGCCAAAAACTCCGACCTGCGGACGGCCGTCTGCGCCATGAGAGGGGGCGGAGTCCCGAGGGAAACGGGTCCTAGATTCTTTACGCTTCGCGTATCCCCACCAGCCCATCTCACAGCAGCAACTCTCGCGAAGCATGCCGGCAGTCGTGTTTTTCAGGCGTGTGTCCGCTTGGCCCCGCGTATCTCCCCTGTTCCTCCTTCCTCCCGCCTCCTTGTACATCCTCCTTGTGGGGGGAGCGGGAGAAGGACGAGGCGGAGGAGGAGGGAGAGAAAGCGCTCCTCGTGTGTGAGTCGTTCGGGCTCCTCGTGGTGTGAGTCGTTCGGGCGCCTCGTCCTGGTGTGAGTCGTTCGGGCCCCTCCTTGTGGTGTGAGTCGTTCGGGCTCTTCGTTGTGTCGTTCGGGCCCCTCGTCCTGTGAGTCGTTCGGGCTCCTCGCCTCTTGGGGCCTCTTGGAGCCTCTGGCCTCTTGGGGGCCTCTTGGGGGCCTCTTGGGGGCCTCTTGGGGGCCTCTTGGGGCCTCTTGGGGCCTCTTGGGGGCCTCTTGGGGGCCTCTTGGGGGCCTCTTGGGGCCGCTTGGGGGCCTCTTGGGGGCCTCTTGGAGGCCTCTTGGGAGCCTCCTGGGGGCCTCTTGGGGCCATCTTGGGGCCTCTTGCGACCTCCTTTGAAGCGCAAATGAGAGCTGCCCCCTGAGAAGGACAAAATGAGCCCAAAACCTTTGTAAAATCAATGATTTTGCTATAAAGGACGATGAGCGCTGCCCCCTTAGAAGGCCAAAATGGGGCCAAAACCCTAGTAAAATCAATGTTTTTGGCTTCAAAGACGAGTTGAGGGGCCAAACTCCCCCCCCCCCTCGGGACCAGAATCCTCGTGAGGGTCGTCGTTTTTTGGCCCTCCCAGGAGTCGAAAAAGACCCCCTTGACACCACTCGGCCCGCCCTCTCCAGGTCCAGGGGAGGGGGTAGGGGGAGGGGTAAACCCCTCCCCGAAGGGGAAGATAGGGGGTTGAGGACAGAGCGGGCTCTCTAAACCACTCACGCCCAAAGGGCTGGTGGGACTTAAGTCGGGCGTGTCCTTCTACAGGGGGAATATTCAAAAATAGTTAAAAATAGCCTGGGGGCGATTTTTTGATTATTTTTGAGCATGTTCTGAGCATGGTTTGAGTATTTTTAATATTTCGCCCCAAATCCGCTTGTAGGGGGACAGGCCCGACCTTATCCTAGACCCCAGGGTTCCCCTCCGGACCAGTTCTTCATCCTGACCACTGTCGGGAGCCTTGAGACGGGGGGCAATGCAAAGGGGGGTCAGCCAGAGCGCCCGATCTTGCATTGACCCAGGCTATCCTGCAGGATCTTGCAGGATCCTTCGCATTGACCCGGGTTTGGGTGAAGGATCTCGCAGGATCTTGCAGGATTTTGCAAGGCCTGACTGACCCGGGTCTGGATTGCCCCGGGTCAGAAAATCTTCGATTCCAATGCTTGACGGCCCTGGGGCCCGTGGACGGCCCAAGATGCCCAAAAACGATTGACGGATTCGTGTCGTTCCCTTCTTGTCGGCGGACTGCCGCCTTGCGGATGTTCTCCCCCCAATCCAGCGCTGGAACACCTGGAACCGTTGTGGTCTTGCAAGCTCCGGTGCGCGAGTTTCAGGCCGACTGGGTGGGTGAACCTTGGTCCTTCGGGCCTGCTCGTCAACAAGTGGTTCGGTCTCTGCATCGGAATCCGCGCAACGATGATTTCGAGAACGTCCGACTTGCGGTGGTTGTCTTCCCTTCCCCCCTAAACATCCAGCGCTGGGATGCCTGGAGCCCGTGCGATACGAAGAGATCCGGCAGGCGAGTTCCAGGTCGATTGGGTGGGAAGATGTCCGAGCATTTTCCTTGGGTGGAGGGCAAAGGGTGAAATCTGAAATGCCGTTTCGATGGATTTTCGAGGGAATCTACGAAAGGTGAATCACAAGACGGATTGGTTTTCGAGGTGCACAAGCCCATATGGATTTCACCCTGAGCCCTCCACCCTAAGAAAATGCTCAGGACTTCGCCTCTCCAGCATGCTTAAGCACCAGGTTGTGCGCCAGAGGAGGAGAACATACCGACGCCGCTGCCCTCCCCTCGCTTGCTTTTCTGAGCCTGCGGGGGGCCTGTCGTCGCCACGGCTGATTTCGCCTCCGAGTCTTGGTCGGGGTGCGCCCTGGGAGGAGATCGGGGGAGCGATTGGCGGTGTCGGTAGTTTGTTTGTTCCTTCATTGCGCCCTTCGCATCAAAAGCGTACCACGACGAATGATCATCGAGAGCCTGCTGCGCAGGGTCATTGGTGAACTCAGCCGGAGGACATGCTCAAGAAGATCCCTGCCAAAATCAAGGACGAGTTTTACAGTCGCGAGGGCGAGATTCAAAAGGCCGCGCAAGCCATCCGCTCGTAGAGCGCCAAGGCTGCTCCCACCGCGGGGGTGCGGGGGGGGCGGGCGAGAGGGATCAACGAATGGGATAATGGGGTACGATAGGGTTAAGTCGGGGGAACGATTTTTGACTATTTCTGACACTTTTTAATATGTTGGACTATTTTTAATTTTTCGTCCAAAATCCGCCTGTAGGGGGACACGCCCGACCTAAGGATAGGGGTGGGAGTGGGGGAAGCCGAGAAATGACGGGAGGAGAGGAGGGGGATGTCTTGAGACCAGGCTGGTTCGCGCAGGCGAGCCTTGAGAGGGGGGAAGGTGGCGGACGCTCAGGATAATGATGAGTGAGAACGGATGGGCAGAAGGAGCAGGAGGATGTTCAGGCGATCGCAAACATGGACCAAGGGGGCGTGGATTAGCGACGGGTTCCGCTTCCATGGGAAATCGCAGATTTCCGCTGGGCTCATGGTGCAATATACAAAGCTGCACATACTGCTCTGTTGTGAGGTCGCAAACGTTCGAAGTCGCGTGTTTGATCACCGGTCGCCTTTACTGTACATTTCCCCCCGCTCCTCGTCCTCCTGCCTCTTCTCCTGCCCCTCCTCCCCCTTTCTGCGGTGTTTGTGCAAAAGTACGGTGCCAGTACAACGCCGCAGCGCCAGCAACGGTAACAGTAAAGGCGAGGATCAGAGGGGCAATACGTCAAGAGAGTGATTCGCTCCAGGATGTTCTGCGCGGACTCCACGGACAAAGGCCGCTAGACATGCCAGAGTTCGTGGAACGTTCCCTGAGCCAACCACATCATGACACCGTCTCTTCTAAACGTCGGCGGCGAGCAAAGGGGGGAACTGAGAAGGAGCGGGCCTTCTCAGAAGGCTCAGAAGCCCCCAAGCCTCCTGAGAAGTTGTCCAAGCCTTCCCCGAAGCCAGAGAAAACTTCTCAGACTGCGCGAGGGTTTCTGAGAAGTCCCGCCGCCTTCTGAGAAGGCCTTCTCCTTCTTATTTCCCCCCTCGCTCGTCACCTGGGGGGGGGGGGGGACGCAGGGTGTGAGGAAAGCCCAACCTTTCTCTGGCGCAGTTTGGGACGCGGGGCGGCAGTTTTAAGGGCCCTTTCGGCCAATTTGATTGATGCAACCCTCGACCGCCCCCTGGATGGCGCTCCCCGTGAACACCCACCCGAGACGTTTTGTCTCGCCTCGTCCGTTCTTCCTCTTCCTTCTCCGCCCCCCAAGGTGGCCTGGCGTGGCCCATCAGGAACTGGCAGCAAGACGAAGGGATATCCAGATACGCGATGAGCCCCCAAGGCTCACGAGAGCCTCGGCGAAGGAGCGGTGGAGCCGAAGGGGCGAGCGTGAGCGAGCGACTCTCCGCGGGGAGCCCGCTGCTGTGCCGAAGTGCCTGAGCGCAGCTGTGGCCCTCCTCCACGTCGCTCTGGTGAGGTGTGGCAGGCGCCCGCACGGCGCATGGGCAGACAAAGCTACCTTGAGCTTCGCACACGCCCTAAAACACAATGGTTACGGTCAAACACCCTAATGAGGACGCGCGACTTTGCTCAGGGTACCCTTGCGTCCTTGCTCTTCCTTGCTCTTGCGTCCTTGAGGTTTTCGTCGTCCGCCGCCCCAAAAATCCCAACTTCGGCTTCCATGGGTTTGCGTCCTTACCGCGCGTCCTTATTAGGGTTTTTGACTGTATGGTACACTGCCCGTGGGCGCAGGAGGAGGGGAAGGGAGGAAGAGAAATCGATCTGGTAGTGACCGACATTTGCACTCTGCTGGGCGCGGGCAGGAGTGGCGCCTGCCGCTGCACCCGTCTCCGAAGAAGCTTCCGAGCATCGGGCCTCCCCCCCGCGAGGCGGCCGAGCGGCGAGGGACCACGCGCGGTTGCCTCCAGCACCCGCGAGTGACGCCAGGGCTGCTTTCGGTGTCCAACTTCCTTTTTTGGGGTTAGCTGTTGCACGAGTGGGAAAGGGAGCGAGGGCGGGAGAGGGGAGTCTGCGCAGGGAGGTGAGGCGGGCAGGGGGGCCATCGTCGCCAGGACCGGGGCGAACCAGTAGTACCACGGCGAGGCAGAGGAGCAGGAGGAGGAGGAGGGAGCAGGAGCAGGGCGAGTGTCAAGTAGCGAGGCCGAGCGAGTCAGCGGGCCCCGACCCTCCATCCCACAGCATCGGCATCAGTGCTGACACGATTTGATATTGGGATTGGAACGCGTTCCCGCCTGGCGAACGGAAGGCGCTCGCGCGCGGTCCCGCTTCCGACGACTTGGCGCGGGGAAACAAACGCGGGCCGCGCGCATGGACACCACCATGGAAACCCCGGACGCCAACGTTGCAGGAGCAGACGCACGGTGAGCCAACGTCGATGTGCGCGTGCGCACGGCACGGGCACACGGCACCGGCACGGCACGCGGGCACGCGGGCACGCGCACGCGCACGCGGGCACGGCGGGGCGCGGCGCGCGAGCGGCATTTTGTTCTGCACCCTCGAAGCCGGCGCATTCGTGGCAGGCGGGGGCGGCACGGCACGGCACGGCACGGCACGGCACGGCGGGCGGCACGACACGGCCGCGGGTGGCACGGCACGTGGGCATGGCATGGTCTTGGCACGCGGGCGCCAGCTTCCTTGCATTCCACAGACCAGGCGCGGCACCCTTTGCCGGGGAGGGCGGCGGAGTGGCTGTATAAGAGTGTTCCGTGGCTCCTGCGCTGGGTCCCGAACGGGGCGCGACAGGTGCAGGCAATGTGGACGGGCGTTCCTCACGCGCCTGCCCCAGTGGACGCCCGTTCTAAAGCTGGACGGGTGCTGGGGCTGCGGCATCGGGACCGACGGCCTGGCACGCGGCCGTCACAGCACTGCGCGCGGCGCGGCACGCGGGTGCAGGCACGCCACGCGGGCGCACAAAACGGAACGGCACGGCATGCAGGCGCCAAATGTGCTGGCATTCTAGATTCAGGCGATCGCAAACATGGTTTAAGGGGGCGTGGATTAGCGACGGGTCCAGTTTCCATGGGAAATCGCGGATTTCCGCCGCCGAGCGAGGCGGCACCGGCCGCATTTTGGGGAGGGCACCTTCCCCAATCCATGGATTGGCGACCGCGCGCCAAATCCATGGATCGCTAATCCATGTTTGCGTGCCCCCGATAGATACCGAGCGCGGCATGGCACGCTGGCGGCACTTTTGTCGCATTGCGCCGCGCAAGAAGCCACTGGAGCCGGAAATTCTAGACGTTTTTGAAATTCTATTGGTTTTCGGTTGTTTCTGCGCTGGTGCTGTTGTTGGTAAGTATTTTTTTGGGCGCAGTGCTTTCCTCGTGGGGCTACAGGCTTGCCATTTGCACCTCGGTTCCCGTGGAGATTCCCGTCGATGTGTTTGCGCGAGGCCGAGTGGCGATCATGCGCGGCGTTGCCCGTTTGCCACGACGCACGCGCGCGCTGTTCGGGGGAGCTTGCATTAGTAGACATGTGGTCGCTGCGGCATTGCAGCACTATGTTTAAGGCGGCGCGTAACGCCTTTTCCGCTTGCTGGCTGCGCGCGTCTTGCATTGGCAGAGTGTCCCCGCGCAGCGATGCTTCGCGCTACGTGATTGCGCCGATTCTGCGCGACGATGCGGTCGTTCGTGCGGGGAGAACGCCTCTGCTTGACGACGCCTCGAGTAGCGCTTAGCATGCCGCCAAGTTTGTTTCTTCTGGGCGCGCGCGCGGCCCCCGCACCCCTTGTTGGCGGCGCGCCAAAAGTTTGGCATATCGTTGTTTTCTTGTCCAACGCTTGCGCTTGCAACGTTCTCTGGGGGCGCTGATCGCTTGTAACTTTGTTTCGCCCGACCTCTTCTCCCCCCCGGCCTACATTCGCGTTGTTTTTTCGTTGGTTGTTCCTTGCGTTCGTCTCAAAGTGGAGGGCCCGTCAAGGGCGCGACTTTGTTGACAAATACGCGTTGCGGTTGCGCGTAGAGAATAGGACGTTTGCGTTTTGCCGATTTGTTCGCGGCAAGTCCCGAGCACCTCGATTGCGCAATTTTCGGCGCTGCGAGTGTTCGAGCACCGCCAAGAAAGCCGCGCCGCGCATCGTCGCACATACCCGTGCAATGGCCGCAACATGTGACACGTTCATCCGCGTCGTTTCGGGGCGTCCTCCTTCGTCTTCTTCGTTTCCCTCTCATCCCCCTCCGTCCCCCCTCCCCCTTTTTTTCCACCTCGTTATCCATTTTTGTTTCCTTTTTTGGGGGCTCTCACGTGGCACTCTTGCGCCGTACTGCAACCCTCGTCAAAAATAACCTCAAAAATGCCTCACGTAGCTGAACTGATTGTGGGAGATATCGGACCGAGTGCCGATGAGTGCGATGTACTTGTATGCGCCGCCCCTCCAATGTCGGTCATCTTTGAATTTTCGATTCGCTCCCGGTCACACCACATCTGCCCTGGCCCCGACATTGAAGGGGCGTCGTATCGACATTGAAGGGGCGCGCCGACATCGAAGGGGCGTGCCCGCCATTTTGAGGTTAATTTTGACGAGGGTTGTTCGTTTCCACGCGGATCATTGCAGGTTCTCCCGATCCCATGCTCGGACTTCCAGCTTTCTCCATACGATGCCCCCGCACCTCCATATCCCTCCATTCTCCTCTCCCCTCTGCTCGCCTCCGCGCCGTATCCCATTTCGGCTTAAGGATTTTCTGGGCCTGCCAGGCCATGGCGGCCCCCCGCCTCGACGGCCCCGCCCAGCGCGGGTCCGGCCATAACGGGCAGTATGTCTACTGGATGTGCATGGCCTGCCCCTCCGAGGAGACCGTCGCAGCGCAGGGGATCAAGAAGCCGAACGACTTCACCAGAGAAGCCTTCAGAGAGGCGTGCGTGGCAGCGCATGCCCACTGCGACTTGGACGTCGTGGAGACGATATGCTTCTTGGAGCCGCACGCGGATGGCCGCCCGCACATGAACCTGCTCGTTCGGTGTGACCAGCAGTACAGGTGGTTGCCAGTCGCCAAACGTTTGCTTGAGCACCATCGGATCCACGTCGGGTTCGGCCGGAATATCAA